TAAAAAAAAAAAAAAAAAAAAAAAAAAAAAAAAAAAAAGAAAATGTATCAGACCAACCTGGCCTCGAACCCTGATTTAATCACATAACTACCTGTATTGCCTAGCCAGGATAAGAAACCTTTTGAGTATCAGTTTTCTCATCTGTAGAATGGAGAGAACCATAATTCCTCCTTCACTGGGCCATTGTGAGGATTAAATGAGGTAATATAGCTAAGCACTGCCACAGAGTCTAGTCCGCAGTGGGCACTAAAGAAATGTTAACTTGCCTTCCATAAGTAAATTCATACAAACGCATCAATTTATAAACTATTTTTCAAAGGAAATAGCAGGTTATAAGAGACGCATATTATAGAAACAAGCATTCACAAGAACCATTGAAATCCCGGGAATAGGTTATTTAAAAAGGCATTGAGACTGTGAAGGCAACCTGTGCTTTGAGGCAATAAAGAAAACCCTCCCTTTCAGTCCACAGGTGTTTTTAAGCCTGAGACACTGCTGTCAAAGGAGAAAATGGTGTTCCCACCAAGTGCACACAAAAGTTCAGAAATAAAACAAAGGTTAACCAAGACTTTGTGAATTATTTTAACCAGGAAGCGGACAGAGGTATTAACTTACTAGGATGTGTATTCAGAGATTAGAAAGGCAAAATACAATTACATTAAACTGGATTAAATGAGTTACCCAGGCTGGAGTGCAGTGGCACACTCACGGCCACCTTAGTGTCAACCTGCTGGACCCAGGTGATCCTTCTGCCTCAGTCTTCCAAATAGCTGGAACTATAGGTGTGCGCTACCACACCCAGCTAATTTTTTACTTATTGTAGAGAGAAGGTCTTGCCAAGTTCCCGGGGCTGGTCTCAAACTGCAGGCTCAGGCAATCCACTTGCCTTGGCCTCCCAAAGTGCTGGGATTACAGGCTGAGCCCCTAAGCCCGGCGCTGAATTAATATTTTTAAAGTGCTGAGAACAGTGCCTGGTATATACTGAGCCCAGGGCTCTATGTAATTGTTTGTTAAATAAAAATAACAATACAGTATTTCTGATTCACGAATAGAAGGGCCTTGCTCCTTCCCAGAACCCCCAGCACCAGGCCTGGTTTCCATGGTGCTGCAAGAATGTTGCTGTTTGGGTTCCTATCACCCGGCTGTAAATGACAGCTCAAAATCATGCAAAGTCAACAGTGAAGCTTATCTGGAGGGTAAGATGTCCAGCAGTGTGGCAACATGTGATAAGGAGGGGTGGCATTGTGTCAGTAAAATGGAATATTCAAGCTTGATTACACAGAGAAAAACAAGCCTGCTAGGAATGGACTAAATAGGTACCGTGTGCAAAGTGCTAGTCTGTGAATCAGAGACCTGAACTCCTAAAACTGGCATCTAAGAATGCAGAGGCCACTTCTGAAAACGTGAAGAACTAAACTGTCCGTTCCCTTTAAGCTGCCCCCACCCCTCCAGCTATTTCTTGGCGCTTTGGTGAGCAGAGTCCCGGAACAACTGCCTGCAGGTGGGATGGAGCCAGAGATCCGGGTCTGCCATCATCTCTGTTCTCTCTCCCAGGGTCGCCAGGGCAACAGCCTGGACCGGAGGTCCCAAGGAGGCCCACAACTCGGTGGGGCTGTGGGAGAAGAAATTCGGCCTCCCATGAACCGGAAGCTGTCAGATCACCCGCCCGCCCCCGCCTCACAGTACCACCAGCACCAGCAGCCGCCTCCGCAGTACGCCCCAGCGCAGCAGCGCTATCTGCCGCATCCCCATTTTCACCAGGTATCTCGAAAGAATGAAGTGGGTACAGTAAGTGAGAAGGAGGACCTGCCTTCCCCCCAGGCCTGGCCCAGCCTCATCAGCAATCACAGAGTTTGTGAAGAAGATGCTGGGCCCCCTGAATGGCAGAAATATGGAAACTGCTCCTGGCAAAGACATCTCTGTGAATTAAACGGCTCCCTGTCTGAACACACAGGCGCACACACGCGCACGCATATACACACACGCACTCTTCCCCTGAGGGTTCATTGAACAATTGCTTCATTTTCCTATCAGCACAATTCCAAATCTATTCATGCCCCCTAACCCATCTGGCTGTCGAAATCCACCAGAAGAAAAGGATTAATGCGCTCAACAGAGACTTGCTTATTTATTTATTTATTTATTTATCCCCCGCCTTGTTCCAGATGGAATTCCAGGCGGCTTACCGAGATGGACAATACAGCCAGATAACATCGTCCCTAAATTCCTTAGCAGGGCACACAAAGTCTTTTATGAGCTGCCTACATCTGTTTCCTCAGCCTCCTCTCCTGCTCCCTCCCCGGGCTCCCCACACAAGTACAGATTCCAGCAACGCTGCACTTCCTTTAGTTACCAGAATGGTCCCTTGTGTTTCCTCTCATACCTGTGTAGCCTTTTATATGCTGTTCCCTCTGCCTGAAGTGCCCTTTCCTGACCAATCCTACTCCTCTTTTAAACTGGAGATTAAGTTTAAAAGGAGTTCAAGCTCCTCTATGAAGCCTTTCCTGATTCACCCAGGTAGACTTAGATGCTCTTCTCTGTTCACTTACCACTTGCATGTGTGTGGTTCCCCCACTAAACACAAGTTCCGTGAAGTCAGGTCCCTCTCTTCTCACTATATAGCCCTAGTGTCTGGCACAATACTGGAATATGGTAGGTGCCTGATAAATATTTCAGATGATTGACTGAATAAGTGAAACCTGTCTTTGCCTTCAGCCCCCTTCCCCCTCTCTTCATGCCCCGGGGGTTTATGTCATCAGCAGCAGGTATTCCTGAACTCCCAGCTGTGTGAATGGCATCTGAGCAAGACACTGACTCAGGGAGCCTGTGGGAGACGCCCTTGGCAGTAGGGTGAAGGGCTCTCCGTTGCACGTTTCTAGGAACGCCGAGGAGGCAGCCTTGACATAAACGATGGGCACTGTGGTACAGGCCTGGGCAACGAGATGAACGCGGCCCTCATGCATCGGAGACACACAGACCCAGTGCAGCTCCAAGTGGCAGGGGTATGTGAACTTCCCTCTCTGGACTCCCCGGGAGAAGGCCATGGGACAGAGCTCAGTGGAGGAGACAAGGCAGGAGAGAGTCCAACTACACAGAGTTCATACCCGAGGCTGTGGGAACTCAGCAAGCGCCAGTGCTGGGGAAGGTCTGGGACCCTGCCAGCACCACCCAGGCCATTCTCGGGCTGGCTTTCAGGCCCTCCCTGTTCTCATAGTTCTCTCTCTGGCTCTTTATCATCTTTATCATAGTTCCTTATAGCTGCCTTGATCATTGCAATGCATCTCGTCTTGGGACTCATTGCACTAACACCAAGCGCTGTTATTTGGAGCACGTAGCCATTCTGTGTGTCACTTGAAGAAAATAAGAATGTCACCTATTGATGTGGAGAGAGTAGTTCTAAAGGATTCTGGCGGGGCCTTGGACAGCAGCGTCTCTGTCAGTAAGTGTCCCGAGTCTCAAGTATGATGTGGTCAATTCTGGGAACTCCACGCTCGGGGCTATGCACCCACATCTGCTTTAAGTTGCAGCGGGGTTGACCTTCAGAGAAGGATGTTCTCAGAGGACATGGAGGTGTGTGAGGAGCCCCAGACCTTCTCCTGTGGAAGGGGAGGGCTGGGCAGGCCCGTGGCTCAGCAGAGCCTCTCTGTGTTTCCCCCAACAGCGAGTGCGGTGGGCCCGGGCATTGTACGACTTTGAGGCCCTGGAGGACGATGAGCTGGGATTCTGCAGTGGAGAGGTGGTGGAGGTCCTGGATAGCTCCAACCCATCCTGGTGGACCGGCCGCCTGCACAACAAACTGGGCCTCTTCCCTGCCAACTACGTGGCACCCATGACCCGATGAACCTCTTGGAGGCAAGAGGGCTTTTTGTCTGAAGCTGTCCAAAAGAGAAGGGCAAGAAAAAAGGCTGAACTGCGTATACATACATTTGTCTATGTATGCCTGTGTATACACATGATATTTTATAATAGTAATTTATTGGCAATGGGGTTGGTTAATCAGTTGATATGAAAGGAACACAGGTAGAGGATGATATTCATAGTTATTTTTCTACTCCTCTCAGAGATGTGTGGAAGGCAGAGGGGGAACTGGGAAGGGGAACAGGGAAATGAAATGGAACTTTGTCCCGTCCTAAACTCTCACTACTTCCTGCTTGTCTTGGGAATTTTCACAGAGAGCAGCTAAGGCAAGACCACACCCTGGCGTTGGACGCAGAACAGCAGGGTGGAGTTGGACTTGGTGGGGCATGTCCCAGCTCACCTGTAGGCCCTGCTCGCCTGAAGGGCTTGCAGGGCAGCTTTTCTCCTGTCCTCCAAGGGGTAGGCACTGCTGCCCTGAGAATGAGGTGTAGCTGATCCAGCGCCACAGGCAGCCAAGCAAGTCTGAACTGAGAGCAGACAGAGGTATGGAGGCAGGACAGGAACAGACTGTCTGAGAGCCCCTGCCTGTGCCTGACTGGCCTCCTCGTTGAAGCCCAGCTAAGACTTGCCTGTCCCTCACATAAATGTTCCTTGGGTAATCAATCTTCTTCCCTATGACTGATAGGGAAGTGTCTCCAATGTAGAGAAGCAGAGACACCATGATGAGCCAAGCGCTGGGAAATGGAGGGATTTTTCCACCATCCTATAGTGTCACCTCCACTCCCCACCATGAAAAAAGTAGCATCCTAGATTCTGTAGACTGCCTGGAGAAGCCCTGGCTGAAAATGTGGAATTTTAGAGTCATTGTTTTATGATTATGAGGTCTTCAGATCTCTGTTCATCTTCCCTCTTGATTTTCTGTATTTTGAAGATTGCCCAGTGGCTTAGAGAGAAGCCCACTCTACAAGCACTTGACTATTGATGGATTGAACATCACCCAGGAGGAAGCTGGCTTTGAGATGAGCTTCCTGTTCAGTCTGACCACTGCTGGCCTCCCACCCACGAGAGTTGTTCCTGAGGAGAGGAACTCCTCTGACACTGTCCTTCCGCATCACCTCAAACCAGATTCGTGTGTCCTAGTGTCCACCCTGTGGGTGTGAAACCCAGATCAGCCTGGCTGGGGTGGGGAGAGAGGAAGCTCAGGGCCTTAGTGGAGACCGGGGAGCAAACGTGTCTGCATGGAGGGCTTTTGGAGTGTGTGGGCATGTGCACACTGCATACACCCCTGCATGTGTGCACATGCATGCACACATGCTGAGACAGAAAAGAAAGGGTTGGGGTAAAAGTGCTGATGAAGGAACCCAGGGAGTTTCCCTTCCCCAGCCCTCCTTGCTCTAAGGAGGACCAGGGAGCAGCTATTACTGAAGGGGGTAGGACAAAAAAGAGTTTTTGACTCAGAAGTTGCTGCCAGTGTAACGTAAGCAGTGTCCCCTGTGGCTGTGATTCTACAGTTCTCTGATCCCCATGTTTCCTTTAGAGAAAAGGAGGGAGGAGGACTCTATGATGGGTATTGGGAGGGGAAAGAAAATAGCCTGAAAGAGGTGGGGGGAGAGGCGTGCGTGAGTGAGGCGTGTCTGCAGCCTTTGGAAGTGAAAGCACTGAGAGAAACAGGCAGTGGAGACATCTCAGAGGATTCGGCAAATGGAAGAACGGCCTGAAAAGCGCAGAGTGGGGGAAAGGGCACCAAGGGCGAAGTGGGCCAAGTGCAAAGAGGAGGCAGCTAGTCAGTGGAGAGACAGGCTGTGGGGGGTAGGGTTGGGGGGTTGCTGCGGGAAGAGGGGGAATCAGAGCAGAGAAACACGCCGCTGTGGAAGGCAGGGAGCAAAGCAGCACAAGAATAAAGAGAACGGAAGGAGAACAAAGGCAAAGGGGACCTCAGAGCTATTCTGGTGCTAGGTGATGTGAAACGTTACAGTAAATAAAAGCCAGAAGCAATGTCTGAGTTTATAGTATTTACAAACCACATGCTTTTGACAGCCCACAAGCGTCATTCGTTTGTCTGATGAGGTGGGAGGACCAGCCCTGGTTAGACAGAGGAACATGATGTGGTTCTGATCTAGATGGTGTGGCTTGAAATACTTCTCAAGAAAGCGGGAATAAAACAAAGGGGCCTTGTTTTGCTGGGCTGTGTCTGGTGTCATCTGGGTCTCACACACATACACACACACACACACACACCCTTAAGGGGCAGCAGGGGTTACTGGCCTGGAGAAGCTGACCCCATGGGCCCTGTGAGCAGAGCTTTCAGACCCCCTGGCATGGGGCCTTCTGTTCTAACAAAGGCTAGTGTGGGAGTGTGGGGGAGTTTTTTTTCTTGAGATGCTAAAACTGCCTTGCCCTGCTCATCAGCGAAGCTCAATTCAGAAGAAAGTCATCCAAGCCACCCCTCAAAGAGCCAGGGCTCTTAGGGACCAAGCCAAGAGGACAAGGACCAAACTGCCCACACTGGGGAAGGAAAAGAAACCTCTACTCTCCTCCATCTTTGGTGCTGCCTAGGAGAGCAACTCCCCGTGTGTCCCCCGCACTGTGCCCCAGTTTCTACCTGACAGCATTTTTCAGCACCAGGGGAGTGTCTACCCGACGTCTCTCACCAGCCTCACAACCAGCAACTAACACGCTGTCTCTGAGTCTGGCTGCAACGCTCTACGTGACTTTGGAGCAGGGAACTTCTAGAGAAAAACCAGCTCCAGTTGGACCAGTTGGATTTTCCTAACCACTTGCTGAGGCTCACTGCATTTCAAATATCTGGCCCCCACCACTACCCACCCACTTGGAGATGGCCTTAGGGTGATCTAAGGTAGTGTCCTCAAAATTTAAAGTGACTCCGAATTGCCTGGGATTGCCTGGGGATCATGTTCAAATGTAGTTTTCAATTCAGTCCTGAATTTCTAACAAGCTACCAGGTGCCCGTTGCTGGGTCCACAGGCAGGCAGCAAGGGCAAAGAATTGAGCAGTGAGCTAAGCAGCTACCAAAATCGAACGGGCTCCTTTTCTGGGGATATTTGGCCACTTTTCTTTGCCGCTAACAAATAAGTCACGTTGGCATTGAGGCAGACACAATTCAGAACTGTCATTATGACATCATTCATACTTGGCAGCCCAGGTGACTTACTATTTTAGCATCTTCATCTCCAGGAGGGATCAAAACACTTCCAAGCAAGAGGCATTCAGATGAAATGCAAACAGGAATTTCCTAATAGTAATTATTTTAAACATGAGCAGAGGTTGGCAGAAGTTGTTGTGAAAGCTTTCTCAGGAAATCTTTGGACTTAAAATTGTCCAAAGATTTCTGTCAGATGTGGCCCCGATCACAGCGGGGGAATGCCTCTACACGACATCTTAGCTCTCGGCTAACCTCAAGCACCATGGCCCACGTTGGAGACAAATAGGCATGGTCAGAACATGTGCCGTTTGCCTTGCCTAAAGTCAATGTTTCAGCCTGTCTATACCAAACAAGGGTGTGGGGAAAGCCTTTGTTGTCTCAAGTCTTCTTTGAAAACACTTCTTTTCTGGGCATGGTGGCTCCTGCATGTAATCCCAGCACTTTGGAAGGCCAAAGTGAGCAGATTGCTTGAGCCCAGGAACTCGATACCAGCCTAGTCAACAGAGCAAGACCTTGTCTCTAAAAAAAAAAAAATCAAAAAATTAGCCAGGCATGGTGGTGCACTCCTATAGTCCCAGCTACTCAAGAGGCTGAGGTGGAAAGGCCACCTGAGCCCAGGAAATGAAGGCTGCCATAAACCATGATCATTGTGGTCATGCCACTGCACTCCAGCCTAGGCAACAGTGAGATCCCGACTCAAAAAAAAAAAAAAAAAAAAAACCATAAAAATACTTCCTAAGTTCCTCCATTTTGTTCCACTGCCATGGCCATGCCATAGTCACCTCCCCCTTTAGCAACAGTCTCAGCCTCCACACTCTTCTCTCTGCTTTCCCTCGTCTCCAGTTCACTCTCCCCACAGACTCCAGAGCAACCTTTGTAAAAATAAATTTGGTCATGTCACACCCCTTCCCTTTGTACTTAGGCTCAAATCCAAAGTCCTAATGTGGCCCTGCAAAGTCCAGCCCTACTTCCCTCTGCAGCCTCTGCCTCTTCTGTCCCTTGCTTTCATGCTTGTGCCCCACCAGCCTTACTTCAGCCTCCAGATGCCCAAGGGTTTGTCCCCAAACCTTTCACTACTGCTGCTCTCACTGCCTGGAATGTATATCACCTGTTCTTCATCTGCTAACTCTTTCTTTTTTTTGGAGTTGGAGTCTCACTCTGTCACCCAGGCTGGAGTGCAGTGGCATGCTCACGGCCACCACAGTCTTGACCTGTTGGGCTAAGGCGATCCTTCCGCCTCAGCCTTCCAAGTAGCTGAAACTATAGGCGAGTGCTTCCACATCCAGCTAATTTTTTTATTTATTGTAGAGACAAGGTCTCGCCAAGTTGCCCAGGCTGGTCTCAAACCCCTGGACTCAGGCAATCCTCTTGCCTCTGCCTCCCAAAGTGCTGGGATTACAGGCTTGAACCACCACACCCAGCACCTGCTAACTTTTGTTCATCTCCAGGTCTGAGTTTAAATGTCACTTCCTGAAACAGTCCTCCTCTGACTCCTCATCCAAAATAATCCCCATTAGACTATTTCATGAATCCTGTGCTTTTCCTGAGACAGATGATGGCGCTAGACTTAGTTATACAACTATTAGACTGCAAGCTCCTTGGAGACAAGGGTCACCTCTACTTTGCATACCATTGCATACCAAGCACCAAGCACTGTGCATGGCACGCAGAGGCTCAATAAACATTTGTCTAATGGATGAACTAGTGGACCTGCTTTATCTCATCTAGACATTCATTTTGTAACCCAAATATCCCAGAATTTTCAGACCTATAGGAGCAAACAAGGTCATAATAACAATGATGCCCAAGGCCAGACATGGTGACTCATGCCTGTAGTCCCAACACTCTGAGATGCCTAAGTAGGAGGATTACTTGAGGCCAGGATTTCATAGCTAGACCCCATATCTTCAAAAAATTTAAAAAATTAGCCAGGCATGGTGGTACACAACTGAACTCCTAGCAACTTGGGAGGCTGAGCCCAGGAGTTTGAAGTTAAAATGAGTTTTGATCACATCACTGCACTCCAACTTGGCCAACAGAGTAAGATCCTATCTCTGAAAAGAAAAAAAAGGGGGAGGGGGGCACAACATCAATAAGGGTACCT